CACACCTGCCCCGGCACACACCCGCCCCTCCCCCCCCACACACACACCTGACCCGGCACACAGACGTGAGAAGGCGTGCACTCCGCTCTCAATCAGCCTTGGAAGCAGCTATGTCCCCGGTGCCCCAGAAGCAGTGCATCAGGGGAGACGCCCCGCAGGAGGAGGTGTGAGGGCCGGGAGGGGGGAGGGAGTCTCCGCTCACGGCTGGAAGTATGAGGATGGGTGTTCCTTTCAAACATTAGCAGTAGCTCATGCCCATGGCAGGGAACAGCCTTCTTTCTCGAGCTCCTTTTCTCTAAAATGTCCAGGTGAAGTGCCTTAGATTCCCTTCCAGAGACTGTGACGCACAGATGTGGGCTGAAATCCTGGCCCTGCCAATCTCTGTGTCTGAGTCAGTCATTTCAGCCGGACGAGCTCCGGTTCCTGATCTGTAACGTGATGTTCCCCCGAGGCCGGGGCTGGTGTTCACCGCCCATCCCACAGACGGGAGTTGTCACCCCCGGGAGTGCCCTCAGCCGCCAGGAGGCCAGCTCCCTGCATGGCGGGCACCCCACTCCGCCCTGTATCAGCTCATTCCAGCAACGGACGCTGAGGAGATTTCTGGGAGATCTTTTCCAAAAGGGCCTAAATATTTCAACTTCGTTTCTGAAAACGCCCGGGGTCTCGCTCAGGGTGGCAGAGATATTTCAACTTCGTTTCTGAAAACGCCCGGGGTCTCGGTACAGACGCTCAGGGTGGCGGAATGGAAAGCACTGCAGTGTCTGCCAGTTGGAGACACAGTTTCCTTCCACTTTCACGGGACCCCTGCCTCCACAGTTGTCTGTGTGCTGTGAGCTGTTCAGTGGTCCCTCACTGTGACCGCAGGCTGACCACAACCCTGCAATTGCTCGAGGACTTGCGGAGCCCTCCAGCTCAGAGCCGGCTCGCCCGGAGCCCTGCAGTGGGCCCGGCTCGAGGCGCTGGCATTCTGAGCGGCCTGCTTCCCACCCTCTGTCACCTGCTCCGCATCCCCCAGTGCCGCTGGCTGCGTGGATGACTCTGACAGTTTCACGACCTAATTAGCCACAATAACTTCGCTTTCCATGAGCTCTGTTCCTTGAAACCTGGACAAAGTCTCGGGCGCCAGAGAACCGGGCTGCATTGCTCACGCACACGCAGGGACCCTCCCCGTCCCAGAGGCTCGGCTCTGATTTCCAAACTGAGAAGAGAACCGGGCTGCATTGCTCACGCACACGCAGGGACGGACCTTCCCCGTCCCAGAGGCTCGGCTCTGATTTCCAAACCGAGATGAACGGCTCTGACTTGACCTCAGTGACTTCCGAACGGAGGGTGGGCGCCAAAGGCCCCACGTTCCTGGAACAAGGCAGGCGCACTGAGGGCCAACCACCTGCCTGGCCCGGGTGCGGGTCGGGGATTCGCATCTCTGCGCACACACAGCCTCGCAGCCCGGCAGCGTGTGCAGCTAGCTCACCAGGTGGTTGTTACATGACACACGACGGACGTGAGCGGCCGAGCCACTGGCCCCCAGCAAACGGGAGAGGACTGTGTGCGGACCCACGTCGACGCAGACCATTTCTGGGGCCGCGTGAGGTGGACAATACTCCGTGACAGTCCTGTGTCCCACTTCACAGCTGGACGACGGGCCGCATTAGCTGAACCCGACTACACCTCCTCCACTCCAGAGGCAGCCACAGCCTCGCAGAGCCGTTGTCTGACTGGATAACAGGAGCAGGGGCTCCACGGAGCTCTGCACAGGTGTGCACAGCGGCAACCATAATGAACAAGGTTGCTGCCAGCCCAGGGAGCGGGGTTCCCGCAAGCACATCAAGTCTAATGTCCAATGACCAGAAGATGGGAAATCATTTTATTCTTAACTAGGGGCCCGGTGCATGAAATTCGTGCACGAGTAGGGTCCCTAGGTCTGGCCGGGGATCAGGGCCGAATGGGGGCTTCCGGCTGCCAGCTGGGACCTTCCTTCAGTCTGCGCCACCCCCTGGTGGTCAGCACATGTCATAGCAAGCGATTGAACTCCCGGTCTCCAGAACTCCAGGGGGACAATTTGCGTATTAGGCCTGTATATGTATATGTATATGTATATATGTATACACACATACATCATACACATACACATATGTATATGTATGTGCATATATATGTATGCACAGATAAGAGGAATTTTCTTTTTTTATTTGTTAATCCTCACCCAAGGATATTTTTCCCATTGATTTTTTAGAGAGAGAGGAAGGGAGGGGAAGAGACAGAGAGACATCAATGTGAGAGACACATCGATTGGTTGCCTCCTGTACACGTCCTGATGGGACTGGGATGAGCCTGTAACCCAGGCGTGTGCCCTTGACCGGAATCCAATCCACAACCCTTCTGTCCGCGACCAACACTCCACCCGCTGACCTAGCAGGCGAGGCTGCATTTTTCTTTTCAATGGACTTGTTTCCAAAGGGAGAGGCCGGGAGAGGGAGGAGGCACCGGCGCAGGCAGCCCTCACGTGGAAGAGTCCCAGGGCCTCCCTGTGCTCCAGCCCAGCTCGCTGGGAGTTTAGCGCACAGAGCAACACGTTTAAACCAGCCTGTCAAAATGTTCGCCATCATCACCGAAAGGACCGCGGAAAACATCGAAGCAAGACTATTCCTCATTGTTCTGAACCTTAACTTCCACATTTACTACCTGTATGCTGCAGGGAGTTTCTCTTCACTTTCCGGAAAACGTTTCGTTCCACCATAATCTCATTATTTAGAGCTTCTTTTGTGATCTTATCTCAGGGGGTTTTAATTTCATGAAAAACCTCCAGCTGAGCTGAAGTGGAGCATGCATGCTCCCATCCCCAAAAGAATTCCGTTCTGACAAAGTTTAAACCCGCTGAGCCGGCGTGGCAGCAGAGCTGAGAGGCGCTGGGGGGGTGGGGGGGACCCCCGGGCAGTGAGCAAAGGGCAGAGCCTGACGCGAGTCGGAGGCAAGCGGCCAGGCCACGCTTGGATCACGCCAGGCACGTGGCCCTCAGGCCCCTGGTGCTTGGTGCTGAGGGACGGCCGACAGTCTTGACCCCACGTGGGGAAGCGGGATGGACCCAGGACACACCAGATCACGGGAGTCCCGGGAACCCGAACAGCTCGAGGACCCCTCCATCCCTCCTGCAGAGGTGCAGGGACTGGCTGCCGTCACCAAGGTTTTCAGGGACGTGGACGGGTCCATGCACGTCTGCAGGGGGGAGGCGAGAGGGCGGGGCCACCTGCGACGCCCCCTCACAGCGACTCCAAGGAGGGCGCTCCGAGTCAGCGCCTGGTGGGTCTCAGCCTAGAACAGAGGACAGTCATCCCTTCATCCACCACTAGCCTGCGCTGTGTCACTGTTTACCTTCGTCCTTCTCAGTCATGGCTCTCAATTCACTTAAAACCATCTGCTTCTTGGAAGACCATGAGATTCACCCCAAAGAACCCACCAGCACATGCTGTTGGGCACCTACACGTATCTCGCTCCTCACATTTAGCAGGAGACCCAGTCGCACCCGCACAGCAGTCACCGCGCCCTTCCCTTGCAGGCCTACTGCGACATGGAGTCCGCCGGGGGCGGGTGGACCCTCATCCAGCGACGGGAAGACGGCAGCGTGGACTTCCAGAGGACGTGGAACGAGTACAAAGCGGTATGAATGGTCACTGAGCCACCTGAAAATCTCTTTGTGAAAGTAACTTTCCAGACCCGCACAACTTGCACCACAAACGCAAAGTAACCAATGACTCAGGACAACTTTTTAACCAAAGGGTTCTGTTACCCGGTGTCCGCCCCCTCCCCCACCCCCCATTAAAGACCAGCCCGGTCGGTAGAGCGTGGGCCACTCAGCGAGACAGAGCGCGTGAGCACGGGGCTCGCGTCAGGGCAGCTCGTGGCTGGCCGGCCCGCTGTCTGGTGCGCTTCGCTGTCCACACACCAGCCGCTAGCCCAGCACGAATTCCCTCCCGTGCAGCTTAGTTCCTTAACACTGGCCTCACCCGGGCCCCCATTCTTCTCTGGAGGACCCCACGTCTCCCAGCACAGTGACATCTGAGGTCGCTGCGCGGGAGGGAGGCGGAGGGGCCACTCATCTCAGACACAGGAGCCCACAGGGAAGCCCACGCAGGAAGCCCACGGGGAAGCCCATAGGGGAGCCCACGGGGAAGCCCACGGGAAGCCCATGGGAGCCCACAGGGAAGCCCATAGGGGAGCCCACGGGGAAGCCCACAGGGGAGCCCACGGGGAAGCCCACAGGAAGCCCACGGGAAGCCCACAGGGAAGCCCACGGGAAGCCCATAGGGAGCCCACAGGGAAGCCCATAGGGGAGCCCACGGGGAAGCCCATAGGGGAGCCCACGGGGAAGCCCACAGGGGAGCCCACAGGAAGCCCATGGGGAAGCCCACAGGGGAGCCCACGGGGAAGCCCACAGGAAGCCCACGGGAAGCCCACAGGGAAGCCCACGGGAAGCCCATAGGGAGCCCACAGGGAAGCCCATAGGGGAGCCCACGGGGAAGCCCATAGGGGAGCCCACGGGGAAGGCCACGGGGAAGGCCACGGGGAAGCCCATAGGGGAGCCCATGGGGAAGCCACGGGGAATCCCACGGGGACTGACTTTCCCCTCGGGTTGCAGGGCTTGGGGAAGCCCACAGGGGAGCCCACGGGGAAGCCCACGGGGAAGCCCACAGGGACTGACTTTCCGCTCGGGTTGCAGGGCTTCGGGAACCCGGCGGGCGAGCACTGGCTGGGGAACGAGTTTGTCTCCCAGGTGACCACCCAGAAGCGCTACGTGCTGAGGATCCGCCTGGCCGACTGGGAGGGGAATGAGGCCCAGGCCCTGTACGAGCACTTCTCCCTCTCGGGCGAGGACCTCAACTACAGGTGAGGACTTGCTGGTGACGTTCCCTGTGGTCACGGGTCCGGACCACCCCAGAAAACCTCTGGCTTCCTAGAGCTCTTCGCCCTGTTCGGTGGGCTTCTCCGGTTCTGAACGTCGAACTGGCTCTCACGACAGGGGCCGCTGTGAGGACAGTGTTTGTCTGTGGTCCCTGCTCTCTGTCTGCAAGGAGCCAACGACGCGCCTGGCAGGTGCTGGGCACCGACACCATCCGTGGGCGTGGAGTGTGGCCTACAGGGCAGTGTCAGGACAGCGCCCTACATCACACACCTAGGGCTGTTTTATTATTCACCAAAGGCTTTAAGACCACTCTGTCTTCTGCAGGTTAAACACATCCAGTTGTATGATTCAGCCCAAGGTCAGGATGCCTGCCAAGTTCAGAAGTGGCAGAATTGGGGGGGACGGTGGGGGACGGTGGGCAGTCACCCCTGCAGCGCTCTGCTATGGCTCCCTTGCTCCCTCACATTACCTTGTACGCCAGCTGGTGGAACTACTCCTGAAACAGGGCAACCCTGGCCCAGAACTCTCTCTGGCTCTAAAAGCGGTAAGAGCCGGAAGGGCAGCAGGGGCTCTGAGAGCCAGGACCCTGAGGCTCTGTGGGTGAGGCTTTGCGTGTGGGTGAGGCTGTGCGTGTGGGTGAGGCTGTGCGTGTGGGTGAGGCTGTGTGTGTGGGTGAGGCTGTGTGTGTGTGTGGGTGAGGCTGTGTGTGTGTGTGGGTAAGGCTGTGCAGGTGGGTGAGGATCTGTGGGTGGGTGAGGATCTGTGGGTGGGTGAGGCTTGCACAGAGAAGGCAGGGGTGAGGCTGTGTGTGTGGTGACGCTGTGCGTGTGGTGAGGCTGTGCGTGTGGGTGAGGCTGTGTGTGGGTGAGGCTCTGTGGGTGGGTGAGGCTGTGCGGGTGGGTGAGGCTGTGCGGGTGGGTGAGGCTCTGTGGGTGAGGCCTGCACAGAGAAGGCACTTATGGGTGTGTGGTTCCTAAGGACTCAGAATGTGCCCGTGATGGGAACAAGGAGAGGGGGACCTGCAGGGTGTCCCAGGAGCTGGTCTGAGGGCCCTGTGGATGTCAGCCACTCCCACGGCCCGAGGAGTCTGGCGGGCAGACTGGGGGTGAGTGGCAACCACGCAGCCCACGTGCACCGCCCACGCTGAGGTCGGAGATAAACCACGTGCAGGGGACCTCACGGGAACTGTCACTGCCTGGCACAGCCCCACGCGAACCCTGCCGGGGCCGCTCGCACCCTCTGCCCACCAGGACAGTCTTGGGCCCGAGCTGGCTCCCAGGGGAGGAACGGCCAGCAGCTGAGCATGCGGGGACCATGCGGGGCCATGCAGCTCCCCAGCGCTGCCCCGTCCCCCAGCCTGCTGCGCTGTAAAGGGCCCAGCAGAGGCAGAGGCACGCCCGAAAGCAGGCAAGTGACATCCAGCCAGCGCTGACCGCGGTCGGGAGTCAGGGACAGTCACAGACGCACAGGGAGAGCGGCTCCCGGAGAGCCTGCCCCCGGTGGGCGGCGGCGAGACAGGTGTCGGGCCTCACCCCCCACCAAGGACGCTCCAAAGATCGAAGCCGCGAGGAATGTTCAGACACCAGTGGTTGGTCACTGTTTTACCTCCAAGCTAAATATTTTGTCAACTGGCAACAGTTAGGAATCTACAACAGAGGAATTTAAAAAAAGAAACACAGAAATTAAGGATTAGACTGTTTATATAAGATTTTAGAAAATGGGTCATTACCCTCATATGCTGACATTATAAAAATGTTTTAATCTGAGTTGGTTCATAACAGATATTTCCTTTAGAAATGTAACTCAATTTTTGAATGTGCCGTTTTATAAAGCGCGCGTTTGTTTAAAGCTCAGTTTAACGTGCTGGCAGTATGAGACAGAGGCCACCCTGAAAACATTACCGTCCTGGTAAAACATGCCACTTTTTATCAGAAAAACTGCCGATGGCTCAGAAAGGCACCCGTCTACAGCAGCTGCGATGTATGGTCCCCAAATGGCAGAAAACTGAAAAACGCATCAGTAAAAGACAATTCTTTTACTAAAACTGAAACTAATTGCACATTAAACTTTATCACTGGCCACTGGTCACGCCCTGAGGCCGTTCCGTGGACACTGAGATGTAATGTGACGTGCGTGTCCCTCCGCCTTCACTCCTCTGCTCCGCGAAAGGGATGGACAGCAGAGCAGCTGAGTCCTCTAATCCCAAGGTCAGAAGAAAGCGACTTCCTGTCGTGGCCCCACCCTGCGAGTCTCACAGAGACGAGTCTCAGAGATGAGTCAAGAGCAGAGCCCTCCCTGTTTGCTCCCCTTTGGGGAGGCAGGAGGGTGAGGAGGAGGAGGCAGCGGCCTCAGGCTGTGGGAGACTGAGGAGAGGGCCTGCGAGAAACCCAGGACCTGAAACCAGCAACAAGCAGGACCTGCACGAGCCTTTGTGGCAGGCGTGCCGGGCAGTGTGTGGACCATGTGGGCCGTGCAGCAGGCATGCTGGGCCATGCGGGGACCATGTGAGCCCATGCAACAGGCAAGGGCCATGCAAGGGCCATG